CCCCAAAACCCCAAAACCCCAAAACCCCAAAACCCCAAAACCCCTCATTTCAATAACCGTATTGATAAACTATTAGAATTAATTATTTAGAATTAAGTGTTACATAAATCTCATTACAGTATTGGGAGTTTCTTGGGCAGCAGACGACCTCCTTCTGACCCCAAAGTTACCTAGCTGGATAATTGGGAGGATCTATAAACTTAACTAGTAGTATCTTACACTGCTTCTTCTCTTACTCTTGGTACCTTTTATAGAAGGTTTTCTATAGTGTCAATATCATCGAATTACTTTGTATTCCTTGGGCTTCTGCGAACATTATCGATATTAGGGCTGTCATCATCTGAGCTATATCGGCTGACAATATCCAGATTTTCTCCTTCTAAATATAAAGATGACCCAATGCTTTTAGAGAGTGACTTACTTTTGCTGACGAAGTCCTTGTACCGTTTGTAATTACTAACCTGGATCTGCTTCTTGAGCAACTTATTGTAAGACCCTATATGTTACCAGAGATCCTAACTTGTGAGTTTATTGTGCTCTTGTTTTGCAAACAATTCTTTCTTCTTCATGGTTCTAAGCTTTTTAAAGCCATAGTTCTGTTCTGACAGCTTGGTGAAACTACTGTATTCCTTGTTCAAATTTGTTCTGGACTTCTTGACTACAAGATTATAGAGTTTAATACTTTGACTGAGAAGTTCATTGCGACTCTTTATCACGCTCTGACTCAATAGATACTTAGAATTTTCCTTCGATGGTTTATGGGACGACCGCAGAAAAATTTTCGCAATCCCTTTCATTTGGTTACTTGAGGTAACCTTCTGGACTACCTTGCAGTAATTCTGGAGTTTATCTAGAGAATTATTGATATGCTTTACTGTCCTCATTATGACTTATATCAAGTTCTCGCTCGATAAGATTCTTGCTCATCACTTTATTCGAGAATCTTTTATCCATCGGAAGTAGCTTGAAGGAGGAAGTAATTTCCTTCAAATCTTCTGAGTCGTCTGTCTTGGTCTTGGTGATAAACTCCTCTTCCTTTTGGCTAGTTTCTTCTTCAGTCTTAGAATTCTTTATTCTTTTCAATGTTTTTGCATGCTTATAGTATGCCTCGAGAGCGATTCTAGAATTTAGGAAGAACAGTACGTTAGTAATTTATTTTATTGAAATAATTTCTTGATCCTTTTATAGTGCAAATATTTCCTATTGGTAATTAAGTAAACCTTACTCAAAAGTGCTCTTATTATACTCTTCAATGATATATTTCCTGTGAGGATCTCCTGCCATGATCTTCTCGACCTGGTAAGAAATTTGGTGAACTCGTTCTTTATAATTTTTCTTTTCATGCTTGAATCACTTTCGCTTAACTTTCAGCTCTAAATTTGAAAATTTCTTTTATGAAGACTTACTTTGCTTGAATAATTTGCTGACTAGTTTTCTTTTGTCAAGACCTCTTTTCTTGGCTTTATTTGGAAATTTCTTTAAAATCTACAAGGCTTGACGCTTGTTTAGATTGGCTAGCCTCGTTATGCCCCATTTCTGACTCTAAGTTTCTGGTTTTATTTTGCTTATTTTTAGCATAATCCTTCATCATAGTAGCGTAGAGCATGTTGTAAGCTGGATCTGACATCTCGTGGAATCTGTACTTGCTCATCTAAAGTTTAGGCAAAGGAGATGATTACTTCTTTATTGAGCTCATAATCCTTCTGATTATTTCCTGATAAAGCTCTGTTTTATGCTGGAATATCTAGAATTTTAGTGAGATTAGGGAAGAAAATACCTATTTTATTTTGGAATGAGTGCGATTGAGGCGCTTTATGAGGGTGTTTTCGAAGTGGTTTTTGGTCAGATCTAGGAGGAGGGTTAGTGGGGATGGATTACTGGAGGATTTTGGGATTGGGGTTTGGGGGGTTTTGGGGAGAATGTTGTTTTTGCGCGTAGGGGTGTTGAGGAGTGGGGAAGTTGGGTGTTTTAGTGCGGACTTTTGGGGGGTTTTCGCAGATGTGATTTTTGAGTTCTGGGTCGTTAGTTTCGAAGGGATTGATCGGTTTGATTGTTCGAGGTTTGAAGATTCTTCTTTGATGACAGAAATTGATGCTTTTAAGGAAGCGTTTGATCGTGGTAATAGAGGAGATAGCTCAAAAAGATCTGTGTTCTGAATCATACCTAGAATACTTGAGAGGAATGTTATCTAGATCGAGAAAAGAAGTTTATAATATTAACACATTTTGGGAAAAGTTCAAAATTTTCTCAAAATTTTTACCTTTTTTAGGTGAAAATTAGATCCAATATATCAAAGTGCCGTAAACCTAATTTTTTGGGGAAATTAGAGTAAATATATTATATTTATTTGGATCCTGTTCTAACAGATGATATTTAATAACTACAAAAAAATTGTCAAATATGGCCTGCTCCTTCTTGCTAGACCTCTTCCAAGACCTACTGTTTTTTGGCTTATAATTAAGAGGTGGTAGCTTCTTTGATTTGGGTGTTATTCTTAGGTTTTCTTGGCCATCATTTTCCATCCTTCTTGTTTGCAATTAAAATAATAAATGTTTGGGGTTTTGGGGTTTTGGGGTTTTGGGGTTTTGGGG